AAACTGGTTGATCCACTCTGAGAAGGTGCTATTTAAGAGACTGAGCTGAATACAGCACCTCAGACTGAGGAAGTCTTTCGGATGAGATGAAACGTTTTTACATTTTTTTGTTGTTTTGCTTTGTTTGTTTTTTTTTTGAATGTCCAAAGGACCAGATTGAACTTTTTTAGAAAAAACTGAATCATTCAAAAAATATATAATTTCCATTTTTTTCTAATGTGATTCAATTCAGTTTATTTATATAGCGCCAAATCACAACAAAGTTGTCTCAGGGCACTTTACAGGAACATTCACATACATAAAAGCCAATTAGTAAAGTTCTCTATCTAAAGATTCCATTTTTTTCTAATGTAATTCCATTTTTTTTTTTCAAATGTGATTCCATTTTTTTCAAACGTGATTCTTGCCACTTCCACTTTGGCCACTTCCGCTTTCGCTCTATCTAATTCCGTTTTTTTCAAACGTTGTTGTGTTGTTGTTTTTTTTATGTAATTCTGTTTTTTCAAATGTTGTTCATTTACACCTTAGGGTCACCGTACCCCACCCCCAAAGAAACACAACTCTGGGGTTGTATGTGTCAGAAAAAAGTCAAAATGTATGACAGAAGGTGGGAACAATTTGATCAATAAGGTTGAAAAGTACTAAATTTTCATCTAAAACTATGAGCTGTTTGCTACTGGTACAAGTAATACAAATAATACATTAATAATATGCTAATATTCTCCATGTAAGTTATTTTCTTTCAGTTGATGATGACAGATTATCTTTAGAAACTTTACGTTGTGTTTGGCTGCCTATCTTGGTTCAAAAACATTTGTTCTTTAGATGTGGTACAATGATCCAGGACAGCAAATGTCTGCCATTTTTAGCAGCTCAGACTGTCTTCAAATTCAGAGTGAAGCTAACATGAATAACTCGTCATTTTAGTTTGACACTGGTTTACTTTGTCAATACTTTCTCAATTTAATAACAGCTCATGGGGAAGAAAATTAACCCTCTCCTGTCAGTTCTGCTGTTTTACATATCAGGACAAAAAAATTATTTGTTTCTTACAGATTCTAATAATTATTCAAATCTAAGCACAATGAACAAAAACATGACAGATTCCACCGTGTCATTATTGCTGCTCATCAACTGTTGTTGACCATCAGTCAAAGGGTCAAAGTTCATTTCAAACAATTATCATCCATCATTCTGCAAAGAGAAAGATCATTCACAAGTGGAAAACCTTTAGGATAGCTGTCAGTCGTCCCAGGAGTATAAGTCCCAGCAAACTCACCCCAAGGCCAGACTGTGCAATGCTCCTGAAGAATTACATCTCAGACTCTACAGGACTCAGTTGCCAGGTTAACCTGACAAACTGTAATTTCTGAACTATTGAGCACACCTGAAGATAAGACACGCCCACTATATACTAAATAAAAACTAAAACAAAGCACATATATAAGCTGCACTTGTCTATGAGCCGCAGGTGTCCACGTAGAGATGTACCGATCCAATATTAGTATCGGTACCGATATTGAAAAATTCTTGATTGGGTATCAGTGACAATGTGACCGATCCATAAGAACAGAAGCTGATTGCTGGTTATTTTAAATTTCTGCCAACCAAGCTAGAGAAGCTATTGTTTTTTCCTCTTATTTCAGCTCCTTTTTATTTATTTTACAATATATTTAGAATTCATGAACCATTTGAAAGTTTATTTTTTTCATTGAAAAAGCCTACAAACTTTTTTTTTATGTTTGACCAAAGTTGTCAACCTATTGTTTTTGTCAGTTTCAGTATCTTTATTTTTTTTTATTTTACATTGGGTGCTACTCATAATGGCACTGACTGAACAAATTAAAGTTGTGTTGTTTTTGCATGTTTGACCAAGCTTGTGAAGCTAGTGTGTGCTGTACTGGTGCAGTTTTCAATAAATTTGTAATTCAGTACATTTATGTCTGAGTAAAAACCAAATGTTTTGAAGTTAATTCAGAACAGTTTTTCTATATCGGATCGGTATCGAATCGATACTGACTGACTGACGCTAAACATCAGGTATCGGTATCGAAAATGAAAAAAGTGGATCGTGCATCCCTAATATTTACACAAAAAGATGTTACACAGAAAGTTTTTCAAACTTTGAATTAAATATGTACTGGTAACAAACATAAATACATAGAGTAAATGTTTATTTTTGAACAGTAACATGGCTGGTTAAAAAAGAAATACAGTCACTTACCAGGAAGTCACTGATCTCTATATTCCTCCTGCAAACTTGTGTTGTCCTGGCAGCGGAGCAAAAGTTACGCTTTGTATGCAGGGGAATCCCCTGTTCTCTCCTCCCCGTTTCATTGGTCCACTGTGACCTGTTCAGTAATTTATTTTATTTTTTTACCTTTATTTATACAAGTAGTCTCAATGAGTCACGAGGACCCACCCCCCAAGAGAGACGTGCATTGGGCAGCTATGTAGGCGTCCAGGTGTGACGAGGCTAAATGTTTTGGCCGCAGGAAGCTCGTTAGCCCGTCAAAAAATAAAAATAAAAAAATCCATAAATTAGCCGCAGCATTGTATAAGTCGTGGGATTCAAAGCCTGTGAAAAAAGTAGCTGCTTATAGACCAGAAACTACGGTACTTTGTTTGGTGAAAACCAAATGGTATATCAGCACAAACACCTCATGCAAACTGTCAGCATGGTGGTGGAGGGGTGATGATTTGGCTTGTTCTGCAGACCTGCAGTCACCGAGTCAACCATGATGTTCTCTGTAGACCAAAGGCTTCTAGAGCCAAATATGAGACCATCTGTCTGACAGATGAAGACTGGACCAAACTGGGTCATGAAGCAACAGAACAATGATCCAGAACACAGCAGATAATAAGAGTGGGCTAAAATTCCTCTGTGACCACGTTAAAAACTGATAAGGGTCCTACAGAAAACCAATAGGAATCATTACGCTTCTGGATCACTGGGTGGATTTAGTTTTTCACTACCTGCTTTTCTGTAATGGTTTCATTTTGATTCATAATTAATGACACAGCAGAATCTGTTGTGTTTTTTATACTTTTGATTTGAATAATTTTGAGAACTGGGTCTTGCTTTAAGTTGCTGTTAGCTTAAATCTTCCTTTCAACACATCTCTATCTCCATAAACCTACGATTATCATTTAAGAGTTTGATATTCAGCCACGCTCTTCATATTCTACCTCTGTCTTCTTTCACCCTTCATGAGCTGAGTTGAAACAGAGGTGCATAGCGTGTCTCACAGGTGTGTCACTCTTACCTTTGTGTGCGGTCCATCAGATGCTCGACTCTCTCCTGGTGTGCCAGAAACTCCCAGCAGACTGGTGTTTTCTGCTCTGGGACCTACAGCGCTTAAAGTCAGCTGGCAGGAGCCCCGCTGTGAGAAAGACATCCTGGGATACTGTGTCCTCTACCAGCTGCTCAATGGAGGTAAATGTAATCAAACTGAGCCATATGACACATTCAAACCTTTTTCTCAAATAGGAATACGATATGCAAATATTTGTCATCCGTTGCCAACAGTGACAAGGTGAGGCGCCATGTTCGTAAAACTCTATTTAATTCAACATTTTTCAGTCAGGTCAGCTGGACATTTTCTTTTTTTGTGCTGAAACGTTAAAATGTTTCAGCACAAAAAAACGAAACTGTCTAGATGACATGACTGAAAAATGTTGGATTGTATACCTGGATTATTGACTTTGTCAATTTATTTCAGTTTATGTATATAGCACCAAGTCACAACTGAAGTTGTCTCAGAGCACTGAACAGAATCATTCATATATATATATAAAGCCAATTAGTAAAAGTTCTCTATCTAATGAAGCAGCAGATTGTGTTGAATCTTCACTTCGTCACATCTTGAGCAAGCACAAAGGAGACAGTGGAAAGGAAAACTCCCTTTTAACAGGAAGAAACCTCCAGCAGAACCAGGCTCAGGACGAGCAGCCATCTGCTTCAACCGGATGGAATTGAGAGGACAGGAAGTAGAAACAGACGAACAGAATGACACAGGTCTAATTGTTCGTTCTATAGGAGGAAAGATAAAAAAACACTTTAAGACAGAAATAATTACAAATGCAAATGAGTAGAGTAAGTAAAGACACCAGCAGAGTGAAGACGTGGTCAGTTTGTTCTCCAGTAGTCTAAGCTTATACCAGCATAACTAAGGGATAGCTCAAGAAACCCAACCCTAACTATAGGATTTCTCAAAAAGGAGAGTCTTAAGCCCAGTCTTAAAACTGGACAATGTGTCAGCCTCATGGACAGAAACTGGAAGTTGGTTCCACAAGAGAGGAGCCTGATAACAGAAAGAGCTTCCTCCCATTCTGCTTTTGGAAACTCTAGGAACCACAAGTAAACCTGCAGCCTGAGAGCGAAGTGCTCTGTTAGGAAACTATGGAACGACAAGATCTGTAATATAAGATGGAGCTAGGTTGTTGAGAGCTTTGTAGGTTAGAAGATTTTGAATTCTATTGAAATATGATCTCTCCTATTAACTCTCATTAAAACTCTGGCAGCAGCATTTTGGATCAACTGAAGATGTTTTAGACTTTTCATCATAGGAAAATATGGAACAATAAGAGTTGTAATATAGGAGATATATAGCTAGATTGTTGAGAGCTTTGCATGTTAGAAATTCTTCAAGAACCACTGGACGGATTTTAATGAAAGTCTTACAACTTTATCAGTGCATGCACATCTATGATGGATTGTCTTTTAAAGCTAACCCAAAACAAAATTTCAGCCACAGCTAAGCTACAACAAAACAGCCATTTCCTACAGATATTGAGCTAAACTTTGGTTTCATAGTATCTAAGAGTCATGCCCAAAACTACCTTTGAGCTTTTTACATTGCACGGAATCTTCACCTAAATGTTTCATTAACAGCTGAAGTTGGTACAACAATGTTGGGTTAACTGAAGTATTCTTTGATGTTCATCCTTCTGACTTTTTTGCCTGCAGGTGAAACAAAGCGCATCAATGTGACGAACCCAGCGGAGAACTCTGTGATCATCCATGACCTGCTGCCCAACCACTCCTACCTGTTCAAGGTGAAGGCTCAGAGCAATGAGGGCTGGGGTCCAGATCGAGAAGGGGTCATCACCATCGAGTCGGCTGTGGATCCCAAGAGCCCCCTCAGCCCCATGCCAGGTGCTGATTCTTCTGATTCTGCCTAAATACACCAATATGATCGGGTTTCACATAGTTTCTAGAAGTTTGATGTTTTTCTCCTCATTGAGTCTTAGATCTCGTTTGTGTCCAGGCTCACCGTTCACTCTGAGTACTCCCAGTGCTCCAGGCCCTCTGGTGTTCACAGCCCTGAGCCCAGACTCGCTGCAGCTCAGCTGGGAGAAACCTCGTAAACCCAACGGAGACATCCTGGGCTATAAGGTTACCTGCGAACAGGTACATGGTGGAGGTAAGGAAATGATACCCTAATGGTTGATGTTTGCATCTTGTACGGCTCATAAAGGTGTATTCTTTGTTAGGTTACAGTTTAATCATAAACTCTGTTTCCCCCCAGGTGTTGAGCGCACGTTCCAGGTGAATGGTGACAGCCCTGAGACCAGTCTGACTGTTCCCAACCTGACTGAGAACGTGCCATATAAGTTCAAGGTTCAGGCTCGGACCACGCAGGGCTTCGGTCCTGAGAGGGAGGGCATCATCACAATCGAGTCTCAAGATGCAGGTAAGATCGTGTGAAAGGAAAAGTTCAGACTGTGGTTAAAAAAATGAGTGACCTGCAGCATGGTGGTGTCTGACTGGGAAATCATTAAAGATGGTGCTGAAACGTAGCAGATTGAATTGATATTAAACTAACACAAACTTCAACAGCAAATTTAATACACGCATTCTAACAAAAACGCTGAAGTACCCAAGCTGCGCCACTAGGTGGCAAGAACGCCACATAGTTAAGTTAAGTGCTGTGTGTTGTCATCATTGTATGTTCCCATACAATGACGAAATTGGTTCTCTGCTTTTTTTAAATTAATTATTTTATTTTATTAATTTACAGTTTAAAATAAATACGTCACATGTTGGCATAAAACAAAAGTTCTGAATGAAAAGGACTAGTTTGAAGAAAAAAAATCTTATATAGTCTACCCCTTTTCCCAAAAATCAATCTAATACACCAAAAGCAATTAAGTTTCAATCAACCATCCATATAGACACATCTTTGAACACAAAACAGGCAATGTATATATAAAGAAAACAAACAAACAAGCATTATCTTTGTTATGATACAGAACTCTGAATCAATATATTCATTATACCTTAACCCATCACACCTGAGATGCACCCAGGTGGAGCAGTGGGCAGCTATGTTGTGCCTGGGGAGCAATGTGGGATTGGGTGTCTTGCTCACGAACACCATGATATGTGGGCGAGAGTTGAGCTGCAGCTTTCTGGTCCCAGGTCGGCTGCCCTACCTCTATACCATCTCGGCCCCCCACATATATGGTGAGATGTCCAAACACAGAGGAACATAATTACCTGTAGTTCATCAATCCTTCAAGACAACCAGACATCCCTTGGAAACTCAAAATTAAAGCCGGAACAACTGGACCCAGCACAACTTTTAAATCCCGCCCTCTCCTTTCTGTTGTATGTATTGTCTAATACATTTAGCAGTAATAACATAGTTCTTGCCTTAAAGAAAGTTCTGGTGACACCATGGTTGTACGTAAGAGGATAGGCAGGATTTAAAGCCCCTCATATTTAGTGGACAGACTCTAGTTGTTGGATAAAAATATCCTCTATTTATCTTACTTACTCAAAGAAGTCACACTTGATGACAGAAGATGTTTAACTGGTTTTACTTGCAAGGACAGATTTTCACAAGTTACACAGATATACAAAAGTATACACTTATGGAGCCCAGTCACGAGAATCTGCCACGAGCAGTGTGTGACGCTTGTTTTTATATGCTTATCAGCTCCAAGCTCACCGACAGACTGGCATCATTGGAGCTGCGCCTGCAGTCCCAGATCAACTCCTCGTCCAGTTCTCTCTGCTAACTCAAACACATGGTTTATGGGCGGTTAACATTCTCAACCATAGTAGTTGAAAACATCCATGAAAGCTTATCCAAAATTTCCTAACACTAGTTTTAGAGATCCAACATGACGGTGCCCATAAGCATGATCCAATTTACTTCAGTTCCTAACAACTAAAAAAGTTTGATTGAATATTCTTAACGTCAATGGTCCACACCAGAATAGAGGTATCTACCACAGCTACAAATTGTCTATCACATTTTAATGTCTTAAGGTGAATTATATTTGGACTCATAAGTCAGAATTTTAAAGTTTTAAATCTGAAAAAAATCTACTGGAACGTCCCCTGAATGTTGGACTGTGAACACAGAACACCACTTCAAAATTCACCATGGCTGTTTTGACTTCACTTTAGCTCAGTAAATCGACCACACATGTAAAGTACTGCCCAACTACTATTAGTGAGCATGTTACTACATCATTTAAATGCACAGACTGTTGAAAAATCAGTCATCACTTTGTATTGCTAATGGTAGCTAGACTGGTTCCTGAGCACAATTAGCAAATCCCAGTTTTTTTCTGACTTTTAGCTGATATGTGATTAGATTGGGTTTGACCCACTACAGTGTTACTTTTTGGAACATCCTTCATTTGACCCTTCTTGCTTCCTCTAGGTGCCTTATCTCAGTACAGCAACCAATCACTGATGAGGAGGGAGGTTTTCCACATGCCAACAGAGGTCACCACACGGACCAACGTCTCCCACACCATGCTCAATGACCCCTATTTCTCAGGTACAAAAACAAGGTTTTTTATCCCAGTCCTCTTGAAAAGAATCTCTGACTAGATGGAAAATAAACGTTATTTGATTTAACAATCAATACTTCAGATAAAAAAAATAAAACCATAAAAATACTATGGGCTGTTTGGTTTTTATAATTTGTTAAACATTATTGACACACAGACGTTTCCATTGTATTCAGGTTCACAGTGCATTCTGGGTAAATGATGTAGACAGGTTGTTCTGGAGCAATATATATATATATATATATAT